GAAAAGATTTTATTGAAAAATTCGAATAAGAATTGCAATAGATAAGCAGTAAACTTTCATTTTTCCATTATTTGGTTTACCTGTTATAAGCTTTCTACGGTCCATGACTGATACAATCAAATCTTTCTCGAGAGGGATTGTTATATCCATTTCTATTAATTCTCCAAAAATGGGATCTACCGTATCTGGCCGATAATTCTTTTTCAGATTGACCTGAACCGATTTTTTTCTATCTAGGTATGACGCCATTTGAAGTGACCTTTTGCTTCCCGCACTTCACCATGATGTATGGATCACACATGCCATTTTTTCGTTGAGATACTAGTCCTTTGGCTTCAATGACGTATACTCGTAATAGGCATTGAACAGTGCCAAGAAACTCTACTCCGGGTGGGTCGAGAATCGCTGCAGATTTTCAGTTTTTCAAAGACAATTGCGTTTTTCCATTACCACTATCACTATCTTCTTTCGAAATCCGTGTTATAAACACTTTTCCTTTCAACTCGCCAGTTTTCTCTTTCTCTTCAGGGTCGTCGAAGTTCCCCTATGTATGGGTAATGAGTAAGTGGATAACACACAAGATGAACATTTTACCATCGAGCTTTTTACAAATGCAAATGTGTCCAGAAAATCTTGAAAGCCATTGTAATTATTGACGCACTCCAGTGGTTCCTTGAAAACTTTCAGGTACTCTATTCCTGATCTGAAACGCATTTCAAGCTTTTGTTTGAGTTCCTACATTTCCTATTAATTACTCACTCTTCAAAACCTGGTGCTTTCTCGAAATGCCCCTCCGAGGCATAATATTTGCTCCACCAATCCAATTTTGGCATGTCGTCTTTTCGAAGTGATGGTATGAGTGGTGTAGACAATAGCGCTGAGTCTTCCTCCTCCATATGCTTTTCGTAGTCGTCCCAATCAGATTTGTCCTCTTCTGCCTTCTGCAAAGTACACTACTTAGGACGCCCCAATAACTACCAGTATTTGCGCATTCATACTTTCTTTGTGGGGATTCTCGCGTATTTTGCAAAATCCATGATGTGACATACGCCAATTAGAGGTTGTCGTTTGAATGCTCTGATGTCGTACAAGTTGATCACAAGCGGTGGGCTAAACTGAAGATCCGTTGGGAGAGAAACCTGGAATTTTGGTTTAGACTGATTTTGAAGTCTACAATCAAAGTACTGTGCAGCAAAACCGATAACTTGCCTTTGGGAATGTGATTAGTGGTGTGTTGAAGTTTGGATTTTTGGCGACATTTTCAATCGGATCTGTTGTTGTATCTGCATCGCCAATGATAAGCTCCAAAAAGGGCCGACGAATTGAAAGAAACTAAAATCAGTTCATCGAATAGGTGATAATTGTTCCACAACATG